GGGAATCGCCCTGTTCACCTCTCGTCAACACCACGAACGCAGATGGGTCACGAGGGAAAGAGCGGAGTCGTGGTCACCGTCGCGAGGCGCGGATGTCGCGTGGATGGGTTTCCATGCACGACCCCAATGATCCAGGCGCGACGGGGACGGAGGCGCGATCGGGGCTTTCCTTGTTGCGGGATGCGGGAGATTGCTAGTGATTGCGCGGCTTAGTCCCGGGATCGCAAGGGAGGGAAGGGCAACCAAAAAAATGTCGCACCAAAAAATTGTCTTACTTTTGTTTTTTTAGTTGTAGGAGATAACGGATGGCGCCTCCTCAAATAGCAGCTTTAGGTTTGGCGCTTCGCTTTTAGCAGCAGAAAGCTAGAAACAATACATATTTACCACTTGTGCTCGTGTGGCACGTCAGCTCCGCTGTTCAGCTCGGATCCGAGTCAGCAGGCTCAGGTAAAATGACCGCCCCTGCCCCTAGCTTCTCCCTCCCCCATTACTAACACACAGGGCCCACAAGTCATATTCTTCTTGAACCTCCTGCCATCACCACATTGCTCCTCTTGATAGTACGGCCATCTATCCTAAACCCGGTCATCAACTTCTCTACACACCTATGACCGGTGAAATGAAATGCCCTAGGTTATACCTTTGCCTTGCGCATTCCATTCCATCTCCTCCAATGTCGATGCAACACATGCACCAACACGATCAACAATAATATGATCCACTTCATATCATCACGTGATCATATTGGTTCATCGATCTTGACTTCACTTGCCCTTCACCGTTGCCATCGTCCATCGATGCCAACTCTTGCTCAAGCTTCACCGCCACGTGGTCCATCACACATGTGATGATGAAGGAGCTTAACGCACATGAGACATGACATTGAGTCATGTGATCAAGGTGGAGAAGATCAAGACAAGACTTGGCTTGATGGACCGGTTGCAAGCGTGAAGGGCAAGTCGAAGGCTTTGGAGTGATGGACCACGTGGCGGTGAAGCTTGAGCAAGACTTGGCGTCGATGGACGATGGCAACGGTGAAGGGCAAGTGAAGTCAAGATCGATGAACCAATATGATCACGTGATGATATGAAGTGGATCATATTATTGTTGATCGTGTTGGTGCATGTGTTGCATCGACATTGGAGGAGATGGAATGGAATGCGCAAGGCAAAGGTATAACCCAGGGCATTTCATTTCACCGGTCATAGGTGTGTAGAGAAGTTGATGACCGGGTTTAGGATAGATGGCCGTACTATCAAGAGGAGCAAACTTGTTTGCATATCGGTCATCTAGTGCCACTCGAGTGATCTAACTTTGCATCGTCGCTAGGATCGAGTGGCGTGGCAAGTTGAGTGGCTAACATCCTTTGGGAAATGATTGTGAAAAGCTAACACACATACACATGGTGGTGTACACTTGGTGGTGTTGGCACATTTACAAAGGAGGCGGTGTTTGCAGGGTTGAGATGGGTTTGGGTCCCTCTCTCCCTCCCGCCGAGCTTGCGAGGCGTGATTCGGCGCTTTCGGAAAAATGGAATGCCTATTTTCTATTGCGCCGGATGTAAATTCTTATGGTTGGCACATTGGAGCAAGGGTGAAGAAGTTAGAAGTGAAAACGAGTTGATCGCGAAGATGCTGGCGTCGGTCTACCGACCGAACACTGGGTCATGCAGTGACCGGACGCTGAAAGGCTGCGTCCGGTCAAACTGACGGGTCTGCTCGGTACCGAGGGTATTGCACCGGACGCTGGTATGTGTCCGGTCAAGGTGGACCGGACGCGTCCGGTCGAAGAAATACGCCTCGGGGAGCTTACTGGAAACGACCGGACGCTGAGGCTTCAGCGTCCGGTCAGTTGAAGCTGCTGCGTCCGGTCAGGTCAAGTGACCATTGGAATCAGGACACGTGGCCGTATGTGGGCGACCGGACGCTGAGGTCCAGCGTCCAGTCAACACGACCGGAGCGTCCGGTCGGCCTGATTTTTGCCCAGTGAAGGGGTAACGGCTAGTTTAGCCCTTGGGGCTATAAATAGAAGTGGCCCTCGGCCATGGCTGGTGCTGAGCACCTAAGGGGACTTAGTGTCCATGCTTGTGAGTGCTTGGGAGCCCTCCATCACACATATACTTGATAGTGATCATTCGATTGTGTGAGTGAGCGATTCTAGTGCGATTGCATCGTGAGGTTGCATCGAGTGGCACTAGGTGGTCGTGTTGCAAGCCGGTGATGCTTGTTACTCTTGGAGGTTGCCACCTCCTAGACGGCTTGGTGGTGGTCTCCGTCGAAGCCCGCAAGAAGCTTGTGCGGCGCTCCGGAGAAGTGCTTGTGAGGGGTACTTGTGCTCGCCCCGCGGGAGTCACGAAGAGCAACTTTAGTAAAGCGTGTCATTGAGCTACCCTCACTCAAGGGGTAGGTTCTTGCGGTGCCCGATGTGCGGGCTTAGCGGGTGATGCTAATTAGCCGCCGAACCACCAAGTGAGCGGTCGACACAACGGGGACTAGCGTGTTGGCAAACACGTGAACCTCGAGAGAAAAATCATTGTGTCAACCTTGTTCTTCCCGTTGGTTTGCATCCCCATTACACAAGCTTGCAATTACTTTTATACATATTAAGCTTGTGTAGTTGCTCTTGTAATTAAATAGCTTGTGTAGCTTGCTAATTACCATCTTGCTTGTGTAGCATAGAAGTAGCTCCCTTGCGTGGCTAATTTGGTTTTAATAACCTTGTTAGTCACATTGCTTAGTTTGTATAGCTAAGTATTTGCGCTCTCTAATTAGGCATTGGTTGCCTTGTTATTGAGCATTGCTAGTGAGCTTAGTTAGCTTTGTGCTTTTGCTTACTAGCATGTGTAGGAGCTCTATTGTTACTTAAAGTACTAGTGGCATAGGTTTGTGTGACCTTGCTCCTAGAATTCTTTAGGAGAGCTCTAGCTAGCCCGGCACTTTAGTTGCTTTATTAGTATCTTTGCAAGGTGCTATAGAACATATATTGAGGGGTGTAGTCTTGGCTAGACCGATAGTTGTATTTCCGCATTTGTTTCGGTTAGCCGATGCGATTAATTTTATAAAAGACTATTCACCCCCCCTTTAGTCCGCCATCTCGACCCTACAAGCTGGCCGCCATCAAGGCTGTGGGTGGCACAGGCGGTGAGAGGATAAGAGAGTGCAAGTGCGGTCGAGGTGAATTGAATAGCAGTGACTCCTCCCTAGCGCACTCTTGGGCGCAAGGCGACGGCGGTGGCAGAGAGAAAGCAGGGGCACGCGGGCGGACGGGACGGCAGCGGGGCTCGGTCAGACTTCGACTGAGACGCATCTCAGCGGGTGCAGGTGCCGTGGCCAAGGGACCCTCGTCCTAAACACAGTGGACGAGCGAGTGCATCGGCAACAGGCCATGGCCCCCGCGCTGCGGCGCCATTAATGGCGTAACGACGGCATGGATGGCCACGTGCGGAAGGCATCCACCCGGTCAGAGAGGAACAGCGTAGTGCATCGCAGACGCGACGTGACGCAACATGAGGGCAGCGACACGGCGAGGCGGAGCGGCCAGGCGGCAGTAGACCGCCCAGGGCGTCGGGCCCGCGATGGCAACGACAGCGTCATGGAGGGGCTGAGCGGCCAGGCCAACCGGCCCCAGTGTCCCGCCGAGCGCGGCGGTGCGCGTGTGTGCGTGCGTGCGTGCGCTGGACGAGCCGGCGCTGCGACGCCGAGTGCCCGAGGCACGGTGATCGCACCCACGCGATGAAGCCAGCCGAGAGCATGCTGAGCATGATTTTTAAAGCGTTCTAAAAATCTAAACCTTTGATCCAATCACCAAACCACCTTTTCTATACATAAGAGGACATATTAGGCTACTAAAACAAGTCATAAAACCACACCGAGGGTGTTACGCAAGGAAGCAGGAACCAACTGATGGCCAGTGGGGTAGGGGAGTTCCAGGCGACCAGGCTGGCCGGATCGCAACTATAGATTCAATGGCGGCGTGCAGAGGTGTTGCTGCTCTGCTATGCAAGATAGAAGCCAGACGAAGACAAGTACGTACCAACGGTGCCGGACTGAAGGGCAGGACGGAATAGATCCCGCTAAAACAACAATGTATCTCACGCAAAAAGAAAATCGCTCGCGTGAGAAGTACCGCAAAAACGAGCCTAGGGAGGAGGGATACCAAGTTCTCGCCTGCAGAAACTTATCGCTCGCGCGAGATGTATCGCGAAAACCAGCCCACGGAGGAGAGGGATACGAAGTTCTCTCCACTGCAGAAACTTATGAGTTGGAGACAATATTTTACAACTTTTTATTTTAAGAAGCTTTTTTTATCAAACTGTCAAAAATAGCTCTATTTTTGCTAAAGATCAAGATAGAGAATTGTTTTATAAAACTCCTGGAGGTGGTTAAGAAAAAAAATAGTTGTTTCAGAATTTGGACATGCCTTTTAATTTGCCTGCTCCAAGATACAAATGGTGCTATGGTCATCAATTCAATCAAACTTCTCTTTTTGCTGGTGCATACCTTTATTTTCTTCAAGCCAATTTTAATGAAGGTTTTATGAGAGTTTTCATAGACATTAAATATGCTGATATTAATATTAAATATGCTGATATGACACTATTTTCAAATAAAAACGGGGACGTGAAACTCCACTCAAACTGACCCAGTTAGAAACAATAAATGGCTTGAGAAAAAAGAGTGGCCATTGACCGACCAACTACAAGGAACACATAGCTTATGATCGTAAATTTTTAGCTGAAACAGTATTTTTCTCTCATATAAATCAACCAGTATCTCTTCACGAACCAGCAACAAAACTAACCGGCCAACGGAACGGGCTGACACACTTCGCATTGCACCCATCCGTTCCTCGTTACGCTACAAAAATTTAAAACCCCTTCCGATTCCATTAATTAATTAAAACCAAAATCAACCCGCACAAACCCCCCTCGGCCCCTCACAAAAATACCATCGCTCTCTCCTCCGGCATCCACCCAACGGAGCCGCGGCAACCGCCACACCATGGGATCGCTGCGGGGCGCGGCAGCCCCCTCCCCGGCGCCGCGCGCGGGCGACCTGGTGACCACGCAGGTTAGCCTGGGCGGATTTGACGCCACCGTCAAGGCGCTCGATCTCGCCAACTTTCTCGAGCTGAAGGCGGGCTTGGTCTGGCGCTGCCGCGTCAAGACCTCCTGGACCCCGCCGGACGCCTATCCCGACTTCCTTCTCCCCACCGTCACCTCCGCCGCCGCGCAGACGCCACAGTACGATCGCGTGCCTCCGCACGCCTTCGTCCACTTCGCGCGCCCGGAGGGCGCGCGCGCCGCCGCCGACGCAGCTGGCCGGTCCGAGCTCATCCTCTCCGGGAAACCCCTGCGCGCCGTCTCCGCGCAGGAGAGCTCCCTTCGGGCCTCCCGCCGCCGCAGTGTCTCGCCATTCCGCTTCCCTGGCTCGCGCCTCGAGGTCGGGGATCTCCCGGCCAAGGACGCCTTCCTCGCCACCTGGCGCGGCCCGGCCTCTGGGCTCGACTTCTCCGTCGATCCGTTCGACGGGTCTTGCGGCCTCATCTTCGCCCGCGACACCGCATTCAAAGTCCGGGAGTTCCGCGAGTCTGTGGTCATGCGCTGCGACGTCAAGCTCGAGTTCCCCGTCCGCGACGTCGCCGAAGTCAGGGTGTTCCAGCTCGACTGCTCGCTGCTGATCCGGCTGTCGGCGGCACCGCTGGTTTATTACCGCACGGCGGATGACGACATCCACGAGTCCGTGCCGTTCGACCTGCTCGACGACGATGACCCGTGGATACGGACCACGGACATCACTCCCAGTGGCGCGATTGGGCGGTGCGGCGCGTATAGAATCACATTCTCGCCGCGGTTCTGGCCAAAGATGGAACGCGCGCTGGCGTACATGAGGGATAGGAGGGTGCCGATAGTTGATTGCGGTGGTGGGTGGGGGGCCAGGAGGGGCCTCACCGTGCGTGATGAGCCTGAGTTTGGGGAGCCTATGCAGGACCTGTTCTTCTGCGTGCAGCACGCCGAGGGTCTAAAGTTTCCGGTGTTGTTCCTCGTGAATGCTCTGGTGCACAAGGGAGTAATAAATCAACACCACCTCACGCCTGAATTCTTAGGTTTGCTCCAGAGGAAGGAGGATGATGTGAATGTGGCTGCTTTGAGGGAATTTTGGGGGGACAAATTTCCAGTTTTTGATGCATGTGGCAGGCTGAAGAATCTGCAAGATAGGGTTGCCAGGTACCCCAAACTTCTTCGCAACAAGATTGGGGATGACAATTTAGAGGTGAGGAGGCTGGTAGTCACGCCCACCAAGGCTTATTGCCTGCCACCAGAAGTGGAGCGCTCTAATCGTGTCATCCGGCATTATTGTGAAGTCACAGACAGGTTTCTCAGGGTTACTTTTATGGATGAGGGTATGCAGCAACTGAACAGTAATGTGCTGAATTTCTCTGCTGCGCAAATTGTCAAAGATTTGATGTCAAACTCGTTCCTGCATAAGACAACAGTGTACAAGCGTATTAAAACATTTTTGACAGAGGGATTCCACATGTGTGGCAGGAAGTACTCATTTCTTGCATTCTCATCAAACCAGCTGAGGGACAGGTCAGCTTGGTTCTTCGCAGAGGACAGAATGAGAACAGTGGAAACCATTAGGAAATGGATGGGGCGGTTCACAAGTAAGAATGTAGCAAAGCACGCTGCTCGGATGGGGCAGTGCTTCTCATCTACATATGCTACAGTGGTGATGCAGCCGCATGAGGTCAATGAGTGTCTCGAGGAAGTTGAACGCAATGGGTACATTTTCTCTGATGGAATTGGCAAGATTACGTGCGACCTTGCACTTGAAGTTGCTCAGAAGCTGCAATTGACAGATAATCCCCCATCCGCTTACCAGATTAGGTATGCAGGCTTCAAGGGTGTTATAGCTGTCTGGGAAGGAGAAAATGATGGGATACGACTTTCCCTGAGGCCGAGCATGCACAAGTTTGAGTCTAACCATACTGTGTTAGAGGTGGTTTCATGGACAAAGTTTCAGCCAGGATTCTTAAATCGTCAGATTATTACATTACTGTCCTCCTTGAATGTCCCGGATGCTATCTTTTCTCAAATGCAGGAAGCCATGTTATCTAATCTCAATAATATTTTGTCGGACACTGATGTTGCTTTTGACATTGTAACCACCTCTTGTGCTCAGCAAGGAAACACTGCAGCACTGATGTTGAGTGCTGGCATTTCACCTGGAACTGAGCCACACCTGAAAGCAATGCTGTTAGCTATAAGGTCCTCACAGCTACTGGGTCTTCTGGAGAAGACAAGGATTTTTGTGCCCAAGGGGAGGTGGTTGATGGGCTGCCTTGATGAACTTGGGATCCTTGAGCAAGGACAGTGCTTTATCCGGGCGTCATCTCCATCACTCAATAATTGTCTGGTAAAGCACGGACCAAGATTTTCCTCAGCAAACAAAAATGCAGAGACCATTGTGGGTACTATCGTAATGGCAAAGAATCCATGCCTTCATCCAGGGGATGTCCGGATCCTTGAAGCTGTTGATGTGCCTGAACTGCATCACCTTGTTGATTGCTTGGTCTTCCCCAAGAAAGGTGAGAGGCCACATGCCAATGAAGCATCTGGGAGTGATCTTGATGGGGATCTCTACTTTGTGACATGGGATGAAAACCTTATACCACCTGGCAAAAAGAGTTGGAACCCTATGGACTACTCCCCAACTGAAGCAAAACAACTACCGCGCGCAGTATCCCCACATGTAAGCTCAACTATTCTTGGCATTTAGGCATTTCTTCCCTTAAAAGTTCAATATATGGATGCATTGCCTCAAATATTAGTTCATTTCGATGCCCTCCCATTACTAATTTCTGCTTGACATGTTAGTGTTCTTACTGAGCAATCTCTGTTGCAGCTAATATTGAAGTTGAGCATAAACTTCCATGGAAATTGTATCATAGGATTGACTCTGAATCAGGGATTCTTTTTCTTCCTACTAATTCCATGCCTGTTAATATTTGACATGTGAAATCCGAGAGTTTTGAACTATGTGTCTATATGATTATTTGTCTTCTACTCCCTCCAGTCCGGTTTCTAAAGCGTCCTTGCGTTTTAGAGAAAGTGAGTAATATTATTAGGCGTCACTCTTATACTGAGACAGGATTTAACTCATAGACAGAACCGAACAGTCACTTACATGGAGTTTTTTCTCTTTTTCTTCTGGCATGATTTGTTAGTCGCTGAATTCTCACTCTTGTAAGTAACAGAATTCTTACTCTCATCGAGAGAGGATGACACTAGGAGTTGGGACAATTTTCTGGTTTATTTCTCAATGCCATGCCAACCTGAGGGGTTGGGGATACATATTTATAGGCTGCTAGCCAGCCAAGCATATGCCAAGATGCTAGTCTAAGATGCTAGTCTAAGATGCTAATATGCTGTCCTCTAAGACGATGTCCTAAGATGCTGTCCTAGAGTCTAAGATGCTAGTCCTAGATGCTGTCCTAGATGCTATCCTTCAGTCAAGGATGCTGTCCTTGATAACCACCATGCAGCAGCCCCACAAAGACTTATCCATCATTCTCCCCCTAAGTCTTGTGCGTCGTCTTGTGGGAGAGTTGAACCATCCTGGTCCTCGAGCAGAGTTCAAGTAACTTGATCTTCCCAAGGGGCTTGGTGAGCAGGTCCGCAAGCTGGTCCTTGGTGTTGATGTAGCTCGCCCTAATGCTCCCTTCCTCCAAACAGCCTCGGATGAAGTGGTACCTCACCCGGATGTGCTTGCTGCGTTCATGGAAGACGGGGTTCTTTGCCAGGGCCAGAGCGGACTTGCTGTCCACCCTGAGCTCCACCGCTCCAGTGTCCCTGCCGAGGAGATCACCAAGCAGTCGAGCGAGCCAGAGCGCCTGAGTCGAAGCGGTGGAGGCTGCTATGTACTCGGCCTCGCAGCTGGACAGGGCCACCACCTGCTGCTTGACCGACTGCCAGCTAACGAGGCACTTGCCGAGGAAGAAGAGGATCCCGCTCGTACTCTTGCTGGTGTCGATGTCGCCGGCGTGGTCGCTGTCGCTGTACCCGACGAAGTGTGCCGCCCCAGGGCACCTCGGGTAGTAGAGGCCGTGGTCGAGAGTCCCCGCAACGTAGCGGATGATCCTCTTCACAGCCTGCTGGTGCTCCGTCGTCGGTCGCTGCATGAACCGACTAACGTAGCCGACGGAGAATGCCAAGTCCGGCCGTGTGTGGGCGAGGTAGCGAAGGCTCCCCACAAGACGTCGGTACTGCGTAGCGTCCACCTCCTCCGTCGTGCTGTCGCGGCTCAGCTTCAGCCTCTCCATCGGAGTGAGAGCTGGGTTGCAGTCGGTGAGCCCAGCTAGCTCAACGACACGCTTGGCATAGGCGGTCTGTCGAAGCGTGATCCCAGTCATCCTGGTGCACCTCGATTCCCAGGTAGAAGGAGAGAGGCCCTAGGTCACTCATCTGGAAGGTGGCCTTCATCTCTTCCTTGAATGCCGCCACCTCCGCATCCTTGGTGCCGGTGATCACCAAGTCGTCGACGTAGACACCCACCAGCAGGGCATTTCCTCCACTGCCCCGTCGGTAGATGGTCGCCTCGTTCGGGCTTTGCTCGAAGCCCATCCCCTTTAGCGTGGAATCCAGCTTGGCATTCCACGCCCTCGGTGCCTGCCGCAAGCCATAGAGGGCCTTGCGCAGGCGGAGCACCTTGCCCTCCTTGTTGGGGATCGCAAATCCCGGCGGCTGGTGCACGTAGACCTCCTTCTTCAAGTCGCCGTTAAGGAACGCCGACTTGACGTCCATGTGATGAACACGCCAGCCCTCCTGGACAGCTAGCGCAAGGAGTCGCACGGACTCCATCCGTGCCACGGGAGCAAAGGCGTCGTCGAAGTCGACCCCCTCCTGCTGCACGAAGGCTCGTGCCACCAAGCGAGCCTTGTGCTTGACGATGGCACCGGCTTCATCCCTCTTCAGCTTGTACACCCACTTAAGGGTGATCGCACGGTGACCACGAGGAAGGTCAGCAAGCTTCCAGGTGCGGTTCTTCTCAACCGCATCCATCTCCAACTGCATCGCGGCGCGCCATGCCGCGTGTCTCTCGGCCTCTGCAAACGACCGAGGCTCGCCGTCGTCACACGCAAGGTGCAACTGCGCCTCCAGGTCGTGTGGCACCGGTCCCGGCACCGGCTGGTCGCCGAGAAGGTTCTCCATCGTCACGGTATCATAACGGCTCGCGCCGTCGTGGTACGGCGCGACGCGCTTCTCTCGCCGTGAGAGAGCGAGTAGCGAGCTCAACCGGGCCGTGCTCGACACGAGCTGGTGGTGGGGTAGACGTGCCCGGAGTGGTGCCTGTCGGTGCTGGAGTGCGTGGCGTTGCCGGCTGTGGTGGAGCCGGCGAAGAACTCATCGCAGCCGAGGTCCTGGCTGGAGAGCGTGGTGCTGTCGGAGTAGTAGGCGCCGGGGTCGGTGGGGGCTCGGGGACCGGGTAGACGCGCCGCCGCCGAAGAAGAGCCGCCTACTCCCCGCTCCTCGAAGTGGGCGTACTCGACGCAGTGTGAAGTCGCCGTGCGTTGGAGCCGAGCCGTCGCCCACCGCTTTGTCCCACGCCCATCCTCGCCTTTCGCCGTCGAACACAACGCCGCGCGCCGCGCGCATACACCGTGTGTCTTCGGTCGAGGATGCGGTAGGCCTTCGAGCCCTCCGCGTGCCCGATGAACACTCCCGGAGTGCTCCCGCTGCCGAGCTTGCTTGATGTGGCCAAGCTCCTTAGCGAACGCGAGGCGGCCAAGACCCGTAAGTGGGAGACCGTCGGCTTGCGCCCATGCCAAGCCTCGTCACGGCGTCCCCGCCGTCGAGCGCCTTTAGTAGGCGAAGCGGTTGAGGATGTAGACGGCCGTCACCACCGCCTCTCCCGAAGACAGCCGGCATCCCCTCTCGCTTGAGGAGGGCCCGAGCCATCCCCACAACCGCTGGTTGCGCGCTGCGACAACGCCGTTCTCTGCGGGCAGTATGCGGCAGCGCGGAGTAGTGTGGCGCTGAATGCCCTCGTCGGCAAGATGACGACGCGAATTCACCCGTCGTGAATTCGCCGCCGTTGTCGGTGCGCAAAGACGCGCAGCTTATGCGTCCGTACTCGCCTCCGCGGCGACTGCTGCACATACCGATGGCGTCGCGGCACCTCTCCCTTGCCGCCGAGGACCATCACCCACATGTAGCGGGAGAGGTCGCGTCGACGCAGCAGCAGGAAGTAGCGTCGTCCTCTGGTGTGGCGGTGTCACCGGGCCACACAAGTCCCGTGCACAAGCTCGAGCCTCTCCTTGGCTCGGCTTCGCCTCATTGGGGGAAAGGGAGTCGCCTCGCTTCGTCAACACGCAGACGCGTTGCGTAGCTACTCCACATGGTCGAGGCACGGCAGGCCTCGCACCATCTCCGTGGCCTCAAAGTGAAGGTGCCCGAAACGCTCGTGCCACTGCCACGCCTCGTCGTCCCGACGAGCAGCGAGACAGAGGGGTTGTGCCACCTGCACGTTAAGGACGTAGAGTCGATTTGCGCTTCTGGATACCTTGGCAAGAAGGCGACGACGACGATCCTAAATCCTCATGACTCCGTCCTCAACCACCACGCGCGAACCGTTCTCATCCAAATTGTCCCAAAGTCGATGATGGAGTTCCTCAACGCGGGATGTAGTAGACTCCGGTGAGCGACTGTGCTCACCGGACACGATGGTGAAGATGACGGAGCCGACGCCTTGATCTCCACGCCGGAGGCATCCCCAAACTTGAGCGGAGCCTCGGGACGCTAGAGTCAAGCTCGGTGAAGAACTCCGTCGACCGGTCATGTGATGGGTGGCGCCGGTGTCGAGGCACCACCCGTCGATCTTGTCGCTGCTGCGGGGCTGCCGCCGAGGAGGCGTGTGCTTTTGGCTCGTCAAGGTGGAGGAGAGCTGCTGTGGGCGGTGCGGCCGGAGGTAGCTCGATCTTGGCATGTGCCATGAACAGAGCCGCTCCTCCTCCGCTTGCTGCGACGTGGGCACGGCAGCGTCGTGGTTGCCGATAGTCCTTGGCCCAATGGCCAAGCCGCCGCAGCTTGCGGCGGTGTCGCCTCGCGTGCGGGCCTTGCTCGCCGGCGCGCCGCCTGGCGCCCTCATGGGCATCACCCTCGGCACGTCCCGCGCGCCCGCTCAGGCGTCTCTGCTCGCGCTTTGCGTGGCTTGCCATGCTTATGGCACTGCTGTCATGCGGAAGAAGGCTCCCCTTCCTCCGGTCACCTTGGTACGGCAAGCCACTTTGCTCCCAGTGAGAAGGAGCTTCCCGCCAGATGGTGATGGGCCCCGAGAGGGGCAGGGCTCATCGGGCCGTCGACGACCTTGAGGCGACCTATCGCCTCCTCGATCGACATCGTGGAGAGATCCAGCAGAGACTCGATCGAGCGAGCCATCTGCTTGTACTTCTCGAACGCAGCGGAAGAGCTTTTCGACGCCTCTCTCCCTCGCCGTAGGTGTCGTCCGCCGAACTGCACCATCTTCTACAATAGAGTGTTGAGACGGAGAGCAAAGTCATCAACGCCCTCACCGGCTTGAAGGCGTGTTCTCCCACTCCTTGCGAAGTGCACGTGAGTGTGGACTTGCGGGCGATCGCGCCGATGCGTGCCTTGAGCCGATGGCGTCCCAAGCCTCCTTGGCGATCCGCTTCTTTGGTAAGCGAGAATCGCATCTCGGGCGGGATCTGCGGCGATGAGAGCATCCAGCTTCCGTCGATCTAGGTCGTGGTCGACGCCGCCGCACGGGATTGCCTCCCACATGTGCCGCACTGGAGCTTTACCCTCATCACCGTAGCCCACTCGGCGTAGTTGGTCTTAGTGAGGGTAGGCCACCCACCGGCCGGGACCAACGTCCCCGACAACGACCGGAGCCCGTGGTAACCACGGTACCGATCCGGGAGAGAGAGCCACGCGTACGTGCGTGAAGGCCGCGCTCTCATCGACCCGTCCGCCACCGCTGCCGCGGCGCGCCTCCTCCAGAGAGCGCCGCGCCGCCGCGCGCGCCTCCTCCAGAGCGCCGCCGCCGCCGCGCGCGCCTCCTCCAGAGCGCCACCGGCGCGCGTCCGCGCTTGTCTGGGCTGCCGCCCGCGCTGCGTGGCGTCGCGGCTGCCCAGAGCGCCACCGCCGTCGCGCCTCCTCCAGAGCGCCGCCAGCCGCGTCGCGCTGTCACAGGCTGCCGCCACGCTTTCGTGGGCGTCGCGGCGCCGCCTCCGCGCGCCGCCAGCGCTCATGCCGCCTCCCTCTCTAGCAGCTCGAGGTCCGCGTCGGCGTGTCGTCGCCGAAATGGAGCTGCCGATCTTGCCGCTGCAGAGCCGACCTCATTGCCGCCGCCACGACGCGCGCATTATTGCCGCCATCGCTTTCGCCTCCGCTCTGCCGCCTGCCCGCCTCCGCCGCCACCGACCTCGGCACGCCTTACCCGCCAAGCTGTCTCTCTGCAGCAACAAGTTCGGCCTCTCCGACGCCAGCGTGCTCGAGGCGACTGAAAGGCCGAGATCGCCTTTGCGGACATGACATGCGCTACCGGGGCTGCTGCGTGGGGAGAGGGCTGCTTCAGACGAAAGCCAGGCAGGGGAGTGAGCAGGCGCGGCGGGCTGCTGCTCGTCAGCTGGGCTGTTAATGTGGCTGGGAGGAGAGATGAGCGGAGATGCTCAGCTACTGAGATAATCTGACTCGATACTGGGCTTGTTAGTCGCTGAATTCTCACTCTTGGAAGTAGCAGAATTCTTACTCTCATCGAGAGAGGATGACACTAGGAGTTGGGACAATTTTCTGGTTTATTTCTCAATGCCATGCCAACCTGAGGGGTTGGGGATACATATTTATAGGCTGCTAGCCAGCCAAGCATATGCCAAGATGCTAGTCTAAGATGCTAATATGCTGTCCTCTAAGATGCTGTCCTAGAGTCTAAGATGCTAGTCCTAGATGCTGTCCTAGATGCTGTCCTTCAGTCAAGGATGCTGTCCTTGATAACCACCATGCAGCAGCCCCACAAAGACTTATCCATCATGATTAATACGGATCCAATAAAAAATCGGTAGCGACTTGACTAATACCGAGGCGATTGTTGTGCTGCAATCGCATGCATGCCACAAAAAACGATCCAATAAACAGAGCGCTAGATTAATACGATGTCACAAACATCCCATTGCTCCTTGGTATTTGCGATTTCACCATATGCACCTTAGAAACCGGACTGGAGTGAGTATTTGAATAACAGATGAGGATAGCTCTGATGACATTTCTTCAGTAACAACCCTGAAAGTTACCATCTCTTCTTATATATCAACTTTCATGGACTTACTATCTATTGTACTGACTATAGATCATCGTACAATAATTTTATGATGCTTTGTATTTATTCTAGTATCTTAATATGAATCATGCAAAATCCTGTATAATGTAATTTTACTATAACAATTCTTGAAGTTAATGTGCTCTGCAGAATACATGTATAATCTGCAAAACTGTGTTCATGTCATTTGCTCAATTAATACATGTTTCTAAATTTTCATTTGACAATCTACATCCACAACGGCATTATTGGTCAAAGTTAAAAGAGTTTTGGTTGCAAAATCACTTGTTTCTGACTGGAGGGTGTTTTGTAGGGATGCAAGTGGTGACACCAATTGCTAGTAGTGGGTCACTTTGTTACTTCATTTCTATCCCATATCCTTTTCTTTGAGATCTTAATTAGTTCAATTAAATTAAAGGTTGACCTAGAGAAAATAAAACTTTGCATCCCTAGTGTTTTGTGTGTATTAGGTATAGGTATAGGTTAAAGGCTTGATCATTCTGAAGGTAGTAAGCTAGGAAGTCTAATGTGGACAGCTGGATTTCAATCCAAAAGGACTATTTTTAGTAATACCATGTTTTTTCAAAAATACAAAGCTCGTTGCATCCAAACACATAGTTTGTCAAAACCAAAGTATTTCACAAAACCATGGTATTTTTCTAATAAAACAACAAAAATACTTCAAACAAGGACTAAGGTGTTTTCATAGGTTGGAATTAAAGTCAAGAACTCCTGAACATTAGTACAGATAAGGCATAAATACTTTTCACTTCATCATCAACTAGCACTCTCTTGGCTTTTGAGACTTAATATTTGCACTTTTTATCCAATCGATCTGATCATATTGCTAATATACAAAATTATGATCATTTCACATAGTTTCTTCAAATTGCTTTGTCAGTCGCTTGATCGTCTTTGGCGGCTGACGGGGAATTGGGCAGCCGGTTAGGGCTTGCTGGCGGCGGCAGCAGGCAGGGGAGCGGCAGCTCCCTGGCAGCAGCGGCTGGCAGGGCAGGGGCGGTGGCCTGGCTGGGTGGCTGCAGCGGGCTGGCCGGGCAGCCTGGCAGGCGGCGACCGGAGGAGCAGCGCAGCAGCGGGCAGGGAAGGGCGGCAGCGGCAGAAGAGGAGAGGAGTGGCGTGTAGAGAAGAGAGGGAAGGGAGAGAGAGATAAAGGGTTTAACCCTAAACTTGCTTGCCTTCTCATTAAGTGTCTCCCTCGTATATATAAGGGGGGTTACAATTGCTGATGGGCTTAGCCCATGAGTCCATCCTCCTATCGAGGCCTAATCTATAACAGCTGGGCCTATTGCCCCTCGCTACTTTAACTAGTCTGTTGCCTTGTTCTGTCGTTGTTTCCTGGCGTAGGTCTTACCGACCATGACATGCTCTGTCCTTTGTTTGTGATAAATATTACTTTTTTCAGTACACTTTTATTAATAAGATATTGTACTGTTAACAGGATATTGTTGATTTCTTCTTGAAGAACATGGTAAATGAGAAACTGGGTCCAATAAGCAATGCTCATGTTGTTCACGCTGATATGAGCGAGTATGGAGCAATGGATGAGAAGTGCATTCAGTTGGCAGAACTAGCAGCAACTGCTGTGGACTTCCCCAAGACAGGCAAAATTGTGTCAATGCCACCATCCCTTCGACCAAAATTATATCCTGACTTCATGGGAAAGGAGGATGCCATCTCCTATAAATCAGAGAAGATCCTTGGAAGGCTTTATCGGTCAATCCAAGAAGCCTCCAGTGGTGATTTGGTCCCAGAAGAAACTTGCACGTTAAACGATTTGCCTTATGATGCAGATATGGAAGTTCCTGGTGCAATGGATTTTCTCTCAAATGCTTGGGAGTGCAAGTGCTCATATGAAACACAACTGAATGCACTGCTCAACCAATATGGCGTGCGCACTGAAGCAGAACTTGTTACAGAGCACATATGGTCGCTTCCCAAATACAGCAGCAGAAAGCAGGGGGATATAAAGGAGAGGTTGAAGAATGCATACTCTGCTCTCCACAAGGAGTTCAGGAGCATTTTCGAAAGCTTTGTGACAGATCAAACTGAGATCTCTGATGATGAGAAAAAACGGTTTTATGAGATGAAGGCCTCTGCATGGTACCAGGTAACCTACCACCCCAAATGGGTCCAAAAGTCAAGGGAAATGCTCAAACCTGACTGTGAGGACATGCCAGCAAGGCTTAGCTTTGCATGGATCGCGGTCGAGCACCTGGCACGGATTAAGATAAGGTGCCATGGAGAAGTGAAAGTGGACAGCCGAAGGCCCGTTGAGAGGCTCGCAACCTACATATCTGGGAGCATGTGAGTTGGCGTGAAGCTCCATGCGAGAGTGAAGCAAGACCACTCTGCCCTTTCTGCCATGCCATCTGAACTCTGAAGCATGGCTCCGTCTAGTCACTTCGTTTTTTTACGAGTCACTTTGTTTTTTTTATGAAATTATATAGTTCAGACACAGACACTCAACATGCACGTACACCATACGCTCACCTCTATGAACGAACATTAATGCATTTACCAGAGTCGAACTTGTCCAAACTCTATTACTACCAGAATGTTTGTGGATATTAGTTCATGGTGTCTGAATTCCAAAACAGTTTTGTTGGTTGTGTAGAGTGTTCCAGTTTTGTCCTGGAAAATTGGTCAAAACTGGTCTGGTATGTTCTTGTGACCATTAGATGATGTCTGAATTCAGGTTGAGTGCAGCTGTGTAGTGTTGGCAATTAAACATGCTTGTCGCTTCTCATCGTACGCCAATCTCCGTAGCGTTAAACAAAAGCCTTAACTGGTGGCTAGATTGCTCTCGTCGTACGCCGGCCAATCTCCTTAGCGTCAAACAAAAGCCTTAACTGGTGACTAGCAGCAACCTCTATCTCTATCTCTACAACTAAAAAATACACAGAACAATCGCCCCCGTTGCTAATCGCCTCGCCTGCACGGGTGCCCCCTGTCTATCCCCACGCTATGCATTTGGCTTCCGCTCGCTTTCCCCGCGATAGCCGCCTTTGGCTTTCTCGTCATCCACGCAACAAAAGTGGAAAGAAAACCAATCAACAATTATTCCTCAATCCCCCCGCGATAGCCGCCTCCGGCTTTCCCGTCGTCCATGCAACAAAAGTGGAAAGAAAATTAATCAATAATTATTCCTCAATCTCATCCTCCTTATCCTTCTTCTCATCCTCCTCCTCCTCCTCCTCCTTCGCACCTCCTGCCATTTCCTTTGTTTCTTAAGACTAACATGTAGGATCGTCCCAAAGTGTATTGTCTGGCTTGTCACGAGGATTGAGCCTCATTGAGCTTTGGGCCATGTTGGCCGGCGAAGGGGTGGGTCAGGCGACAACCCCCACCCCCCTATTGGACCCCTAGCCCTCCACCTTTGCTCCATTTCAGCCTATGTGTCCCTGCATTCAAATATTCACCAATACAAGTGAAACCACATTATTTAAAAATCAAATTACTACTTTAGAGTTGATTAATCCACTTTATTGATGTGTTGATGGCCGGATGGATCATTTAGTGACCATCAACAGTGTAGAACCTTCGGAGGGTCCGTTGATACTACAAATGATATGTGTGCATCAAGTCATCAAAAACTTGTGAGTCTCTTCCATGACCACTATAAGGAAAGTGGATCCTATGGGCCATCATGTTTGATTTTAGTGTTTCATGACCAACATGACCATTCAGACTAATGATGTTTGCTAATATACAAGGTATAGTTCAAATGGATGCAAGGTGGCCTTGGACTTAGGCAAAGGGGCGATTCAGATTATCAACACCTCAAGCAAGATATTAGAAGACATGTTGAAGATCCATATGACATGCTAAAAGTCCAAGACACAAGATGGAACCAAGCTAGACATGAAGAGAAAGACCCTAGTGTATGCTGGTTGCATGCACCGGATTGGTCCGGTGGTGACCCCCAGGGGACCAGACTATAGGGTGGCAAACCCTAGCAAAGAGGCATCTAGAGGGCACCAGATTGATCCGGTGGCGGCGGTAAGGAAAGCACCAGACTATGCGCTTGTATTGTTCACCAGTGGAGTGTTTCACTCACCAGATTGATCCAGTGTGAACGGTGAAGGGGCACCAGACTATAACAGTGGTCACCAGAGAGGTTCTAGAAGCAAAAGGAGGGCATCAGATTGATCTGATGATGGGCACCGGACTATGCGCTATGAACAGTGCTCAATGGTCACCAACAACTAGTTCCAATGGCTAGTTTTTGGACATGCACCGGATTAGTCTGGTGGTAACCTGTTGCCTTGCTCCAACGGCTAGTTTCTTTGGGGGCATATTTATACCCCCATGTCGGCCCTTTGAAGGTAGTTGGAGTGTGTTGAAGATATAGGAATGTTGAGACACTTCACCAAGTGCTCTAGCCACCACAAGTCCTTAATAGAATATTAGTTATTAGTGTAGGTGCTTTTGTGAAGTGTTTAGGCTAGTTAGACACCGTATTTGCACTTGCTCTAGGTTTAGGCCTAATGTTTAGTGAGGTTTGCATAAGCTCAATAGTTAAGATGGTGGGGAGCAGTCCAGGAGAGGCCATCTCGGAGACCCACTCGCGCGTGGGGAAGGCCTAGGGCCTATCCACAAAGTTATCCGACCGGGGAGCTTGGCCCTTGAGAGGACACCCTTGTGAGGGGCTCCAACGAGGACTAAGGGGAAAACGTGAGCTTCTCGATACCTCGATAAAAATACTAGAGTCATCAACGTGAATTTGTATCTCCATCTCAATTAAGCTTTCACATTTATGTTGTGTACTTAGGTTGTGTGCTTTACTATTCTAGTTTAGGTCGCTAGGCTAGTTAATAGGATTGAAGCCTAAGTTGTATAACTCTTTTCCAGTAGAGATAGCAACACATCTAGCCAAACCTTAGTAGCACATTTAGATATGTGGAAATTAGAGGCCATAGTTTACAGTATATTCTTAGAAAGCCTAATTCACCCCCTCCTCTCTTAGACGTCACGGTCCCTACAAGCACACAGATGGTCCATAATCACACATCACTTCACCCACCAGAACTTTATCAAAGATATGTATTTCCTTCAAAACTCATTTATGTTTTTTTAGTGTATAAATGTTTTTGGTATAGTTCATCATTTATGGCAATAACTATAATATGTCATCATATTTTCTCATGATTTTTCCATAGGATTTTACAAGAGTTTTACCGTCATATTACTTTATATTCTCCTCATATTTTCATGTAAGGTTTTTGTGGAGTTAATCTTATATATTGTACCTCTTATTTTTCCTCATATGTTTTTAAAATGAGATACCGAAGACATAGTGATTTACAAATCACACTTATATGTCATTATTATTTTCATATTTTCCTATAATATTTAAAGGAGTTTTATGAAAAATCTATCTATATATTATCCTCAAAGGGAGAGTGTTTCAAAAAATGGTATCCCTTCAAAGAGACGTCCTTTAGTGATCTCACTTAGCAAGTAGTCATTAGACTTCTAAATGCACTAGGCAAATTATCGGTGCCACCGATGGGGACATGGGGTATTTCCAATGGCCAAGGGATTAGTGCAATTATCAGTGCCCGATGGGCGGATGGAGTATTTCCATTGGCCAAAGGATTGCCAACAGTTATCTCCTGACCAAATTCCTTTAGTTATATGTATACTCAAGAGATCAATACAGAAAGACAGTTCTTCTAATTCTTGTTCGTTTTACATTTCACTTCTCAACAAACACAGACAAAGCACCCACACGTTGCTATAGTTTGGTATGAAAGTAGGGTGGATATTTTCTGATATCCGACTATCCTAAAAGGATTAAAATATTAAATGGATAATCACAATTTGTATATGAATTCGAACATTTAATATCCATATTATACCAAAATATGAATACTTGGAGTCATATTTATAATATGTGTATGGGTAGGTCAAGATTCGACACATCCAACACTATCCACATGCGACTCTGAATCCACAACTACCTATATTCACAACCACCCGTGTTCACCATCCATAATGTCCGTTACTATCTAATCTGATTTCATCCCTAGCTGCAGGTGTGACAAAGGGTCCCTTTGGTAGGGATTCAACCAGCTCTGACTCCTACACTATTCAGTCATTGTGCATCAAAAGGGCCAGAGCTGGTGAAAAAAAAAAACTGGCTCCACCAACTCTGTGAGAGGAGAGGAGAGGAGAAAAACGGATTCTATGAACAGTAGCGCTACAGTATCGAAATAATGCCTGTGTCAGGTGGAGCTAGAGCTGCCAAATCTGTACCAAAAAGGGGCAAAGTATACAATGTCAACGCTACCATTCCAGCGTTGTTGACTCGTTGAACCTCCTGTTGATTGTGATTGGCATTTGGCAGACTGATTCCATCCATAATCACCTCGATATCCTCCAACGTTAGTTCCTTACTCTGCTCTTTCAAACTGACACACAAGGAACTCAACCGCCTTTCCAGTTGGCACGGAGATTTAGTTTGAGTTGGTTCCTTACGCTGCTCTTACAGACTGACACATGGAACTCGAAACTCGGATGCCTTTCCAGTTGGCACGGAGATTTTGTTTAAAGTCCGGAACATTCGGTCATGATGTCGTCCAACATAACTGGGAAATGATCCTTGAAAGACAATCTTAGCACATAGAAAACAAAATCAATCTGGCAATCGCCACAAACCTATGTCCTCATGTCAATTGGTGATTGATACAATAAGCGAAAAATAGAACAAAAGAGGTAACTGGCTATGCATGACAGCCGGCAGTATCAGAGGCACTACAAAACAAACTACCGAAGGGAAGACGTCTACTGTAAACTTCAACCAGTTTGAGTTAGTGGCATGTCAAGAAAACGGAAACAATGCAATCGCACACCTCTATATGTACAAGTCTGTATCCTGAGCTTCCTAATTCCAAAGACCAACCTGCAGCATGCATAAGGCTCTACCCCTGTTTTGGTGCAGGGGAGGGTTCATCCAGCTTGGGCTTAACAAACGACTTCTGCCTCTCCATAGTTGGCATGTAAGCTGCAGTGCTCTTCTGGAGGGCATCAGAAGCAGGCTTGCCGGATTGGTCCCGTGGGCTCGTGAGCTTCTTCTCAACGACTTCAAACTTTGCTGTTGCCAAAGAGGCGGTACCCACATTCCCAGCAGTGCTTGGGGCATCCTCTGTCAGTGTTGTAATGGCATCTCTGGACGAAAAACATGTGAAGCCACAGGAAGCACATTCCAACTGAAACAAAAAAATAATTCTGTGAGGCAACTGGTGCATGAACATCATAATTTGAAGGTTATAACAATTCCACATGTCAACGGATACTTTAGGACAG